AAAATATTTAATTGCTTTTGCAACCTCGGTCTCCGTTTTAACACTCGTTTCAAATTTCAAATAGGAATTTAAAAACAGAGCAATCCTTTACATCAGTGGTTTGTATTGAGCACTGGGTCTTTGGATGCAAGCAAAGTGACAGTACGGGAAGAACACTTAGTGTGGTGGAAAATCATATGTCTGTGAGCATGTTTGCCAAAAAATATTAAGGTTTCCTTTTCCATTTTGAACTCATAGCAGACAGTTCAAACTTTGTGGACTTGCAATTTGTTTGAGGTTATTCTCAGGTTTAATTATCTGCATATATTTCAAAGTCAGCTATTTAAGGGAAAATTTGCACTTACATAATTATTCTGTACATACGACACAAAAGAAAATAAAGATAACAATCGAAATGTTAAGTTAAAGTACAATGATGAAAACTTGATATTTCTTTTGATTTATGACAAAATATTAATTTTAGTGTACTGCTACTCACATTGGTTCTATCATGTTAAAGATGAAATTTAGTTCAATATTGTGTGTTACAAGCAGCTGCTCTACGTTTTCACATCAAAAAAACAACAAAACCAAACACAATTTGGGCAGTTCTGATGATTGATGATATGTGAGAGACAAGACAGACATTTGGTTTCTGTGCAAATGCAACATTATTAGAACAATGACTTCAGAAGATCACTGTTATTGCTTTGGAGCTCTTCCAGGTTCACAGTAGTTCTTTATAAAGACACTGGAGATGCTCTTTTCATGAACATTAAACTCCAGTAAAAGCTGTTGCTGCAGCTCCTCCATACTCTTAACCTTCTGCCACCCCTACCAGTCTCTGCTGTATTCCCTTTAATAAAGCACAAACACATGCATACAAAAGCACAAGCACACATAAATGTCCCTTTGCAGCAGGTTGCAGCTGGCTGAGCAGGCTCTTCTCCCTCCAGTGCAGCTGTTTCCGATGAGTCAAGGTATCTGACTGCAGTTTTTCCCAGCAGATTCCCTCACAGGAGACACCACAGCGTTAATGCCGACAGATCTTGTTCTCTCGTCACTCCACTTTATACACCAGGAGGTATAGCAAAAAGGGAATTTACTGCTTGGAAAACCTGAATTGCTTTTATTTTTATTTAAATGTGTAAACTATATTTAAAATGAAATAACACTTTCCTGTTGGTGTATATTTATGATGGGAACAGTCAAGGTATAATGCTTGCTTCCTTTGTTTGATAAAAACACAAGAAACTGACAAATGAGTGCTTAAGTATGTCTTTTTCATTCATCATGTCATACCATTTCAGAATGTTGACATCAATTCTTAAAGCATCACTGAATATTTCTTGTCTGGTATGGTGATGTTATTAATGTGGGAAAAAGCTCCATGACAGTAGAACTAAAGGAATCATAAGATATTTCTATTTAATTCCACTCTCTTAAAGTAGAGTGGAATTAAAGTGGTCAAAATACAACCTGAAGAACTGCAGAACGCTGTGATCGTGTGTAAAATGCAAATGAAAACAGAAATTTGATTTAAAGCTTAATTCAATTACACTTGACTCTGTTAGAGAAAACCCAGACCAAGTGTGATTTTCAGCTTTTATCATTTGTGTTTAGATCCACTTATTCATTCTACCTTTTTTTGCTCTGTTGCTGTTTGAAAGATTTTTTGGTGGACATGTTTTGGATTTAGCAAGAGAGCTTTTTTGCCTTCTCTAGCTGGCATGGAACAACAGTTTAAACTTGCTGCTAAACCAAGACTTTGAAAAAGGGCTAAAACCTTTCTGAAGACAAGTGCTAGCTGATGATGGGTTTATCAGCACAGACAAAAGCTTCATAATTAGGCTCTACATCCGTATGCAGCAGGTTTTGTGTTGGAAATGCAGATGGAAGTGACATGTGTAACGTGCAGTATTTTTCCAAAAGTTGAACTATTTTCACCTGAAGGTGCTTAGAGAATAGTAAAAAGGCTGTGTGCTGTGGGTGTTGAAAGCTGTCAATGCTGAGCTTCATAAGCTCTCTATTCTATACAAAATAAGTGCTGACAATGGAAAAACAGCTTATTCACACATACTTTTAGGGTAGGTAAGGTACCATGTGCAGGAATGTTCAGCAGGTGTCATTAATCAATAGACGGTAACACAACTGCAAAAATCAGACCTTCTGAGACTCTTCAGATTGCTTCTTAGGGCCTGCACAGTGATTTCCATGTAAAGAACACATGACTAACCCTAAACTATAAAAGGAACAACAAGAATAGGTTATGATGCTTTTGGAGCAACTTGCATGAGTGCTTTCATCCAGTCCCCACTAGCTAAAAACTAGGTAGCAAACTAACTAAAGTCAGTTTTAAAACAGAGTCTACTAACAGCTCAAACAACCAGGTTCTAGCACAAAAACAACTCCATAAAAACTCAAAAGTTGTATCTACTGAAACCTGTCTGGACAAACAAAAATAGTAAATTGGGAAAGGTGGGGTGAGGACCATCAAGGTATTCAATTCATGATAGAACGTTTGTTTTCAGAGTGACATCCAGGTCGCTCACCCACTAACTTACTAACACACAGAACAGCAGAACGATGAATTCACTCTAATTAATGCCATTATTAAAAACTGAATATTACACAGACAAGACATTGCAATTCATTTATTCATACAATCAAACTGGATTGGTGTAGCATAATCAGCCAGGAAAGCAGATCCTTTATAAAGATAATGTCACATCGGTCGGATTATCCTGTAATACCTGCATTACCTAAAAGAAGCTGTTACTAAGTACACTTTTCGCATCTTTCCTGACACACATCCAACCTACTAGCTTTGCAACCTTAATCACCTCAACAGACATTTAATGGCATTCCTTTAAGTTGATGTAGGAGGTGAGGGGTTTGGGGGCAGGTGGGGTGAAGAATTTATGGTTCCAGACTGTGAAAGGAGAGAAAATGCAGTGGGGTCGTGTTGCCGGCTGGCAGAGCATGGTAAAACACTGTGGTGTCCCGCTTTATGAGTGGGACCAGGTTCCGTGTAGGTCGTGGTATTGTTGGTGCAGCTGAGCTGGGGGCCCCCGGGGGTCAGGACTTGCAGTGTCCAGGTTTGATGTCTTGGGGGATTGTGTTTGTAAAAACAGGCCCTTTGATGACACTCAGTCAACCCCTCCCTGCTTACTTAAATCCTAACAGCACCAGTCAATCTGGAAACCATTTGCTCGGTTTCCATGGGGAAAGCATCTGCTGAGTGTTTATTTACCCACAACACTTAACCCATTAGACAAACTTTAATAGGACAACTGTAGAGCCACTAATAACATTGGCGCTCTGAGGACAGGAGCCAGCAATTGTGCTGACTGTGTTGTTTTTAAAATCTGAGAGAACACAGGTGATATGGATGCATGTTATACATCAGTTCTTATGAAGACAATGAGTTTCTGCCATTCTTGTAAAAATGTTTCAGTGGTTTCTTGCGCTGATCAGCTGATCAACAGTCAATCAAAATACATTAAAACACTTAAAAGTTGTCGTTATGTGAAAGCTTTGTTGTTTATTTCACATCCTCTTGTAATTGCTGGCCTCATGGGATTTCTACACCTAAACGAAGTTAGACAAGCTGGAGCAACTTTGGCTGAAGAGACAAAGAACTTGAAAGGAAGTTCAAAATTTAAGAGGAAATTCCAAAGTGCTGAGCTGATGAGATGTTCGCTAGCTATATATAACTGCATTTACACCGTGTCACCAGTCACAGGTAATTTCAGACAGTTGTATTTCTAAAAGACAACCATTCTCATGGTGCCTTGGATGATAGTGGTGGAGAATACCTCTACAATGGTCCTCTAAAGTCTGTACAGACTGTTTACTGTCAACCATAAAACATATATTCAGCTTCTTTATTTATATGAAGCAGCAATGTACTAACATTCAAATCCTTTGTTACAAGTTATAGATACATTTATTTAATTTGTCAATTAAATAAATGCATTTAAATGGTAAATTAAATGTTTCCGCCCCTGTATGATTGTAATAATGCAATATTATGACTGTTCAGCTGCTTAATTGTTGTTGCTCATTGAGTCTAATGATGAGAGAAGTCTGTTAGTGTATCCTCCCTTCATTTAACTTATAAAGCTCAAAGTTGTTCATTTTGTTTTATGGGCAATGTGGAAAGTGCAGTTTGTGCACTGCATTGATAGGTGTTTCAAACTGACATTGTGACTGCATTCGTTTTATCTGTTAATGATGCTATTGTGTTATTATTAATAACTTTCACTTAAATGTGACAAATATTGTGGACTTTATGTACGACACCTTTTTGGACTCTACTGCTACTAGAAAAGAACCTTTGTTTACAAGAAAACTGTTTAACTACCTGAGGTTTATAGAAACGACCATACAATGAACATTATTTGAGGATCTCATATGTTCTAAAAATCATCAAAGAATCTTGAATATCATCAAAAATACTGAAAAAGCACAGCCCTGTCCTCATGTTTTTGAGTGGGGTGTATTTTCCCCCATTTAACCTTCAAATGCTTCGCAGATAATGATACATGTATTTATTTATTTAACTCGCAGACAGTGTCATGTCACATGACCTGCAGAAGGGAGACATTCAGAATGATACTTAAGGCTCAGGGCATTTGTGTAACCTGCTGTTTCATGTTGTGGCTTGCTGAGATATTGTTATATTGACTAATTTACATCTTTGCTCAGTGTTATTTCAAACAACGTACCATACGGTCTAAAACGACCCTAATCTCCAGTAGCAGACAGATAAAGACCAGATCAGATTTGTTTTTATTTTAACGATCGGCACAATCGAGATTTGTCATCTTCTTTTGTGCCTTTTTGCTCTACACTCTCCATGTGACGCGTCCATTTGTGTTACACATATCATCAAATGAACACCAGACTTTAAGAACGAACATTTGGGGAAATGGAAGTGTCTGCATCTGCTCCACCCCTCACGTAAAGCTGGCAGACTACTGTATACTGTATAAGAGCCCTGCCTGTCACGCTGACTATCACACAGGAGGAGGGTGTCAGAACGTATTGGGGAAGTCTGTTGGCTTGGAGCTACTGCAACTTTTACGCACGACTCCTGTCTCCATGCCGCTGTTTTCCACTTGAATATAAGGGATTGATTTCCCCGCCTGCCTTTGAGTAATGGCTTTCACTATGCTGAGACCCGTCTCCACGCATCCTTTCTCTTACCCCGCGGACCTAACCTTGATGTCGGACGACGAGGAAGGGAACCGCAGCGAGAGTGACGGCAGCACCGATCAGGGGTACGGGCGGGAGTCCGGTGGAGTTGTAGTCGGACAGCGGAACGCTGCCAACGCCAGAGAGAGACACCGGACCCAGAACGTCAACACAGCCTTCACGGCGCTGCGGACGCTCATCCCCACCGAGCCGGTGGACAGAAAACTCTCCAAAATCGAGACGCTGCGCCTGGCATCCAGCTATATTTCTCACCTGGCCAACGTGCTGGTGGTAGGAGACGGAAGAGAGGGCGAACAGCCGTGCCTGAGTGCTGTGTACAGAGAAGTGAAGGGGGGTGGGCAGGGCAAACAGCCCCGGACTATCTGCACATTCTGCCTCAGCAACCAGCGCAAAGGGGTAACATACTCAGAAGATTCTCAGCTCACCAGCATACACGACACTACATTTATTACGTTCTATACTTTCTGCCTCGACCGATGCGCACACGTATAGCTTATATTATTAAAACCAGTCTCACTAAATCCGCGTTCTGTGGAATACAGCTTCTATTCGGGGTGAAAATCTATTTACAATTCCTGCACCATTCCTGCAGCAGGACATAAGGAAGGATGCAATTATGGGCGTTGCTAATTCCAAAAGGTTCCAATATTTATGAGAAACATACACGATGGATACACACCGTGCTGGACTTTCTGATAAACAAACACTTCAGAAGACATGTGCACTTACGACGTGTCCGCTTTTATCGACAGATGAGGAAATACGAATATGACAAATTCAGAAAAGAGCTTTGGTCAGATTGGTAAGCACAGCTTAAAAAATAGCTAGTAAAACCCCAGTATATTAATTGTTGAATATTGTTTTCAGGTAGTGTCGACCTGACAATGTGCTTTAATGAATTCTAATGAGTGATTTTTTTAAATTCTGTTATTTTGCAAATAATTTGAGAGATTAATTTAGAGACTTTAGTGTAAAGCATAAAACGCATTTTTACACTGACAACCGTGTTTGTGAAAAATCTAATCATTTATAAGTGTCATATCACAACTGTGTAATTGCAACGATCCTGAGTGCAATGAGTTACTTTCCATGGGTGCGCAGAGATGATGACGGTACTGAAACTGAAGGTGATTATTCATCTTTGTTCACAGGTGAAGGACAGACGAGACTGTGTGAAAATGCATGGAAACAGTGTGAGACAGCTAAGTCGACGATGAAAGTGTCTAAACTGGAGCAGTGTGGGATTTTTTTCTTCCTCCCAGCAGATATTCCTAGAGACTTGAAGCATCTCAGCACTACAGCAGTCCTCTTACTTTGTGAGGCTTTGTCTGGTTATTTAGTGAGACAGGAGGATTGCCACCTGTATGTCTCCAGCAGTTGCCAGAAATCCAGTACACAAATTGTTACTGTTTGGGGTATAGTGGATAAATAATCTGAAATTATAACATTGTGACATACAAAGTGAGCAGCACTAAGAAGGTTACTTACATACATACATTAGATGAACAGATCTTACATGTTAGGGGAACAGAAATCCATACTAACCCTAGATCCATGATGGGGTTACACTTATGTACAGCACTTTGGATCACTCACCTAAAGTATGATTACTAATAGTTGGAAGCTATGAACCAAAACAAAACAAAAAATGGAGAATACTTTAAATCTGTAACATCCTAGAACTCTGTGTCCAAGAGTACTTTGTTTTGTACTTTAAACATTTTCAGTACAAGTACAATTCACTTTGCATACTCAGCATTTACAGTGACTCATATCAAATTGCACTTACAATGAAACTGTTGAGCCTTACCACACTGATGATAATAACCAGTGCTTTAACTATTGAGTAGAAAAAGATGCTGCTGATTCAAAGAGTAGTCCATCCAAAGTAGTCTTAAGTTCCTGGAAATATCATAAAGAACATAATAAAAATGTCAAGTAATCCATGAAAATGTTAGTATAATTGCACAGTTTTTAAATATAATTTGGGATAATTTAAAGATATATCAGAATACATGATTACATGTCATCTGTTATACCACTATTACCTGTCAAGCTAATTGACTGATTGATTATTGCACGGAGCAATAAAACATATCATCAGTGTTTTTTACTGGTTCCAATTTACAAATATGGGTTTTATCATGCACAAATGTTACTGATGTCATTCCTATTTGTGATTAAAAACAAAAGAAAACAAACAAACAAACAAACAAAAACAATGGTTTGGTCTGGTCTAATGAACATTCACAAACACTTTGGTGCTGGTCCTCAAGATGTTTGTGTGAAGCTTTTCTCTCAAATAGATCTATGCACCTGAATAGTTTCTGGAGTGTCAGAGAAGATACCAGAGAGGCAATGATTTTATCTACATGTTTTTATCTGCTTTGAGATTAAATTTATTTTTACATAGGCATGGCTCTCTTGCATTTTTCTGCCAACATAGTAATAAGCATGTGATGAGATCATTAAAGGTCCCCTTTGCATGGCCTGTTAAAGGTTTTTTTTTTATTGGTGATGCACAGAAACTGTTTTTGTGACACAATATTTGCCATATTTTGAAATAGGTTGGTCTATAACAAAGCTGAACAAAGCTTACAATTTGTTTCCTGGGTAGGTTCACTCAATGTAAGTAAATAAACTGAGTTTAAGCAATAAATAAATAAACAATGTCAACATTTCTCTACTTGTTACAGACCTGTAGTGGTAACGTCTTTATAGTTTTGTTCATTCAGGCCCCCAGCCGATACAATAGAGCCCAAAGCAGAAAAAGGCTAACTGGTTATCATGCAAGAATCCATGATCAACTCATTTCATCAGAAGTGGTTTAATTGCATGTCACATTTACATTGTTGTCCTTTGTTTCTCTTTGGTAACCTTTTTTTTAATAAATAAAAATTGCATACAAACAGACCAGAAGAAGAAAAAAAAAGCTTTTTAGATGCGCTCGTAGTGATAACCATGAAATTCCATTCAAGGCCCACCAAGGCAGTTCTTGATATTTCCATCAAGAAGTAATCACTTCTTGATGGAAATATCAAGAACTGCACAAGTTTATCCATGAACTAGAAGAAGAGACAAAGATTGAATTTTGGTGGTAGAGCTTCAAGTTTCTTCATAAACGTTTGTAGTCTCCTATGAGAAAAAAAGGCCTAATTTGTTTACATGACCTATGCTCCATTCACAGTTTTGCAAATTTGGAGGCAGGGTCTACACAAATAAAGAAATCTAAGGACTGATCTGTGCATAACTCCACTTTGGTAGTATATCATTTTAGTTGGGATTCACATGTGGTGTTTATCAGTCACGGCTAATATCACCTACCACCCTGTGTGCAGACAAACACAGCTGCTGCTGAATGTTAATGTTGTGGATTACATCAGAAGAGCAGCGCTCTGGCCACATGAAGAGGCTGATGGGAGTACACCTTTTTACGGGGTTGAAGGATAAATGCCTGCATATTGACTGGAAAAATCTGCATAGTATAACCGTGTAACCTCAGACAATGTCGTGAGAATAAAAGTGTCCACTGTGATGGATTATGGTACTCAATCTGCAAGTCTGCAAGCAGATTAGTTTGTATGTATGTTAAAAGATTAGATTGTTCTTTTTTTGTTTGGTAAATATTCTTACAGTTAGGTCCATTAATATTTAAACAGAGAGAACTTTTTTCTAATTGTTGTTCCCTACATCACCACAATGAATTTGAAATGAAAAAACTCAGATGGAGTTGAAATGCAGACCTGCAGCTTTTATTCAATGGGTTGAACGAAAAAATTGTGTAAAAATGTGAGGAACCAAAGCAATCTGGAAACAATCCCTTAATTTCAGATGCTCAAAAGCAACAGGACAGATTGAATAACTGAAAATAAAATGTTCATTTCTAACACTTGTATGAAAACCCTTTGCTGGCAATGACAGCCTGAAGTCTTGAACTCATGTATGAACTCAGATGTTGGGCTTCCTCCTTTTTAATGCTCTGCCAGGCTGTTACTGCAGCAGCTTTCAGTTGCTGTCTGTTTGTGAGCCTTTGTGTCTGAAGTTTAGTCTTCAGCAAGTGAAATGCTCTGTTGGGCTAAGATCAGGTGACTTGGCCATTCAAGAATATTCCACTTCTTTGCTTTAATAAACTCCTGGGTTGATTTGGCTGTTTGTTTGGGTCATTGTCCATCTATATTATGAAACACCGTCATATGACACTGTCTTAGCAAATTCTTGAGGCTTATGAGTGGCTTGCAGTGAACTCTCTGTATTTACGTTTATGCAGTCTTTTCTTTACAGTACACTTGAATGTCGATACGCCTAACCCTCCTGGAGACTGTTGTTCACTTGGTTGGCTGTTATGTAGGGGTTTCTCATCACCGTGGAAACTGTTCTGTGATCATCTACCACTGTTCACCAGTGCTTTCTTTCTTTCTCAGGATGTACCAAACTGCAGATTTTGCCACTCCTAATATTGTACCAATTTCTCAGATGTTTTTTTGCTGTTTTCACAACTTAAGGATGACTTGTTTCACCTGCATGGTGAGCTCCTTTGACCGCATGTTGTCTGTTGACCTTCCAAATGCAAGCACCACAACTCAAACCAACTCCAAGCCTTTTAAATGCTTACCTGATAATGACATAACAAAGAAATTGCCCACACCGGTCCATGAAATAACTGTTTTGAGTCAAGCGTCCAATTACTTTTGCTCCCCTTAAAAAGAGGGAGCAAAACCCCTGGATGAAGGGTTTAGGAGCTGAAACTCCTAAACCCTTCATCCAGTTTGAATGTGGATACACATTATGTCCATTATATAACTATAACTGGAATATGTTTCAGTAAACAGGTACAAAAGCTAAACTTGTGTCAGTGTCCAGATATATATGGACCTAACTGTACTTGTGTTCTTGCTTAGAGCTACAGTAGAAGTTTAATAAACACAACAGTCTGTAAACGAAGCATCTGACAGTGAAAAGGAAACAAATAGTCTGGCTCATTCCAAAAGTAATTTAAAGTCACCTCACTGTTAGATCCTTGTTGTTTTGTACAAAATCAGTATGTAAAAACAACAGTTTTGCTTTTGCAGTAGTTATATGATGAATCCTTCTAGGCTTCTGTGCCAAGCTAATGTATCTTGTACAATTCGTACATCTTGATCGCCGCGGCTGTTCTATAATGATTGTGTTATATCAGTGCAGCCACAAAGAGTTCCTGTTTAATACGAGTCAGACTCGGGAACATTTTTAGAGCTTTTTAAAATGTCAGCTAGAATAACAATTAAGATTAGCTTAATAATAACCAAAAATGAAGATTGTAAGAATTTTTTAGGGTCTGAAACACATTTGTTGTGGTTTTTGTGTTGTTTGTTATAGGTTTTAATTAAACAATAGTAAGATCTATACAAATCTATGTAGGCTTGTTTATTCCCATGATACTAAGGCCGAAACACTTTCAGCATAGAAAGACTGTGCTATACCAGAAATTTACAGTATTTGGTTTGTTGCTAACTTATAGACTTGCAGTGTAGTGGATTTGGGATATTTGGAGAGTCTAAATTGCATAAACTAAACGCTTTTTCACATTTTTAAGTTTTGAAAAATGAATTCCTAACAGTGCTGTGGTTTGTTTTGCTCCAACATTCCCTGAGTTCTTTATTTTGCGCTAAATAATCTAAAAACAATGTCTGTATGAGTAAACTGCAATTTGTCTCACAGTTGCATCTTGTGCAAGAATGCTAAATGTTGCCAGCAGACACCACATGTAGCATTCTTGCATGTAGACAGCATTTTTTTTAAAGTTTTCATTCCCACATATAGTAGTGCATATAGTAGAACTCAAAGTTAATCTTGATTTATTATATGACTAAACTGAATCCTCTAAGTCTCGAAGTGATGTTTGGAGGTACACCCCTCTGAAAGAAAGTTATTGCAGTCCTTGGGGGCAGCACAAATAACTGCACACTTGCATAAAGCATCCCAACCCTCCAGTTCTCTCCACCAGTCAGTGCTAAAACCTAATTAGAAGCTGCTGTGTGAGCTTATCTGATAACTGTAGAGCTCTGTGGAGCTCGATAAATGGCTCCCAGCGGCCTTTGTTCCCCCTGACAGGAAGATGTCATAGAAGCACAGGAAGGGGAAAAAAAGCTCCAGTGCTCGACCTTACTGACACCCTCCCTGTGGGGCCCGAGGCCCTGGGTCACTGCCAGTTTTGACATCAGTCGGGGCCCAGATGGCCTGTTACACTCATCTGATGCTTATTTTAATTCCTGGATGGGAATGTCTCCAAAAAGACAGTGAAAATCAGTCAACAACTGTACAGTGAACTTACTGTAAACTGTCAGCTAGCATGATATTTATGGCACACACAATCAGTACTATATAACCAGTTACTTAATTGGTTTTGATAGTTGTGACAAATTTACTGACCCAAAACAAGCAACAATAACAGACTTGAATAGTTATGGTCACAGTTAAACAGAAAGGGAAACATTCACGTATATTTCTAAATGTATTTCTACACCTTACTAATAAATCAAGGAGTAAGGAAAGTGCTTACAAGTGCCCTGAAACAAGAAGCCAACTGACATGTCATATGTACCATCAGATGCAGGTCCTCTGTCACATCATTAGCTCTTAAAAATATGTGAACATATGCATGTCATCTTCCCCAGTATCCTATACCTGATGTCTATTTCACATCTATGATGGATAAATGCACCTCAATGAAACTCAGAAACAGAACACAGAGCACAGATGAAGAAACAAGCAGAAACAACAACAGGAAGTCTGGTGATTTATGTTGGAATCACACCCCCACTTGGATCAAGGTTACCAGAGTCCAAACATCAGAACACAGAGCAGTGATGAAAATCCACATGTGACCAGAAACTCCACAACCAAGAGTGAAGACCAAACTGTAGTGAACACTGCTGAGTCACAAACATGCAGGTTGGTGACAACTAGTGATTTAGAGTCTAGACAGCACGTCCCAGGCAGCATGGTCAGCCCGGAAGAGGACCCATTAGCACCACAAGAGTCCAGGGACAGTGAACAGATCCAGAAAGCACACCAGCAGGAACAACCAGGGAACCAGGCACACCCCTGAAGCACAGAATGGCACCCACCCAAGCCCCATATTGTATTTACTTGGGTTGTCTTTGTCTAATATTAAAATGAGTTTGATGAAAACATTTCAGTCAGAGATATGTCACAGAATTAGGATTTTTCATTACTAAAACAAAAGCTGTAGAATTGTGACTGCGACCAACAGTAGTGTAAGCCTGCACACAAGAGCCTGTGCATTAGTCAGTTGATAACTTTTAGATACAGGACACATGATGGAAAGTATGAAGCAACCACCTCTGACTCGTGTGGTTTCTCATTAAAGTTAGTGATATCCCTGTAAATGACTGTATAAAATTCCATCTGAACATAAATTATTCTGTCAGTCATCAGCAGCACTTTCCCCATCTTCAGCTCCATCTGGTAAG